TGCAAAAGTATGTGTAAGTTTGATTGAACACATGTTTGCGTCTCAATCTTTATCCCACCATCGGTTGTCTACACAAGCAATCAATAACTTACCCACAATTAACACCCATAAATCATATATGGGTTTTTCGACTCTCACTTTCACACACTCGATTCCCAGTGTGTCCCGATCGAAGCTGCTACCTTGACGCGGTGGTCGGGCTTGCCTATCGTGATGACCCAACCGAGCTATACTGGCTGGAACATATGTTCCTGTAGGTTCTACCATCCCAGGCAGGTCGATTGGAGAACGGTGAGACTAAAAGCAGCAACTCAAGGTCTGAGGGCGGAGTCGTACTGCTGACTGTAGAGAGGTGTGACAGCAGTAAGGTGTTTCCCTCGGACAACCAGCATGACAGCGATGCTGCCTTCCTACAAGGAGGGGTGGGGTTAGAAAAGGTCGACCCTAAAAATGTCACACCTCACCTTACCTCACGGATTTACGTCTCCGGCGGTAAGGCCCTTTGAAGAACGGAGCTAACACGTCAAAAACCTTCCACAAAAAGGCCGTGCGCGACCGGCCTCACGCAGTTGTCCCTTGGGCTCTGCGGTCACGCTCCCAGGTCGTCAAGACCAACACTAATCCAATTTCCTTTTCAGGTTCCTCAAGAAATACCCTTCCACGGTGTGGGCAACCGGGAAGTGACATCAGCCCTCATACCCGTAACAGCACAAGAGACCAAGGTGGTCACATTCAAATCCTTCCTACACCTCCTAATACCTCTCTTATCTCCCCGACTAACCCTCCTTACGTCTCTTTATCACCTCGCACCGCTAGGGCAAACGATTCGAGTACGTGGAATGCCATTCCTGGTCTCCTGAAACCACGCTCTAGACTATACGTAGGAGCTTTTAACGTACGAACACTGTGCCCAATAGGACAGCAGGCTTCCTTAGCTAAAACTTGAGGATCTCGCGCCATCGATGTGTGCTGCGTCTCCGAAACGCGCATACAGGATCCAAGTAGCGTCATTCATTTGACCTCACCATACCAAAATAAAGAACCGACTCGATTTACGCTTCGTGTATCTGGAAGCCCTGATTCTGCTTCCCGTGGCCTCGCCGGCGTAGGTATAGCATTGAGTCCTAGGGCAGAACTAGCTCTCTTAGAGTGGATCCCAGTAGACAGTCGTTTGTGCGCTGTCCGACTGAACGGAACAGTAAGAATCCGGAAAGATAGGGACACTCGTCGTTGCCTCTTCGTCGTCTCTGCCTATTCTCCCACTGACTGCAGCTCAGATGATGTAAAAGATGAGTTTTACAGAAAGCTTTCGGACCTTCTCCGAAAAGCTAAGCGCTCGGATGTAGTAATAGTGGCCGGTGACTTTAATGCTCAAGTAGGTAAACTAAGCGATAAGGAAAGACACCTAGGTGGATCCTATGGTGTCGTGGCTCAAAGAACAGAAAATGGCGACCGTCTGTTGCAGCTATGCTCAGATAACCGCCTGTTCCTTGCAAATACTAACTTTAAGCATAAGGAAAAACATCTTTTAACATGGCGACCCCCTAATTCGTCCCAACGTTGGACCCAAATAGATCACATCGCTATCAGCCACCGATGGAGGGGCTCGATAGAAGACTGTCGCTCATTCTGGAGCACATGCCTAGATTCAGATCACGCTCTAGTGCGAGCGCGTATTTGCTTGCGTCTTACTGGACGTAGGAAAGACGCTGCAAGGAAACCTCTTAGGGGCCTACTTAATGATAGTCAAACTAAGAGTATATTTCAGGAACAACTAGGCAAACAGTTAGGCAGCCATGTATGTGATGCCCACCCCGATGCAGCATGGAATGATATCCGAAAAGCTGTGGAAACAGCAGTGATATCTGCTAGTAAGGTAAACCAGAAGGTTAGGGAGCAACACTGGATCTCAACAGCATCTATCTCACTGATAGATGCTAGGAAACTCATTCCACCTGGCTCTGAACATAATGAAAAGCGGAGTCAGCTTAAGCGCACGCTGACAAGAAGCCTACGCAATGATCGCGAACAGTGGTGGGTAGAGAAAGCAAGAGAGATTGAAAAGGCAGCGGCAATAGGTAATAGCAGACAATTGTTCAGACTCGTTAAGGAAACCGGAATTAGGAACCCGACCGTTAGCGAAACAATCTCAGAGAAAGATGGACATATTATTCATTCTCAATTCCGGAGATTGGATCGATGGGCAGAACACTTTAGGGATCAGTTCGACTGGCCTTCAGCCACACTTCGGTTTCCCACGATCTCTAGTCAACCTGAATGGCAAGTTAATGTAGGTCCTCTGTCCCTTTACGAAGTTGAAAAAGCCATAGGAAATCTGAAACGAGGGAGAGCAGCAGGCCCTGACAGGTTTACTCCTGAGATTTTTAAGGATGGTGGTCCAGTATTAGCAATGAGATTAACCGAGGTCTTAGGTAGGATTTGGGAACTGGACGTAATCCCATCTGACTGGTCTCAATCACTGATTGTGCCAGTCTATAAGAAAGGACAAAAATCCTCTTGTGACAATCACAGAGGAATCAGTTTGACCAATATAGTGTCTAAAATATTGGCTTCAATAATACTTCGACGCCTAATCAAAGCTCGTGAAGAGCAGATTAGAGAAAACAAGGCCGGTTTTCGACCTGGACGTGGTCGTATAGATCAGATATTCACACTACGTCAGGTTCTAGAACACAGACACACATTCAGACGCCCCACAATGGTAGTATTTCTCGACCTTAAGGCGGCATTCGACTCTGTTGATCGTAAGGTTCTATGGCAGTGTTTGTCATTGAAAGAAGTACCAGAGAAGTACATTAACCTTACATAGGCTCTCTACTCGAACACAACTGGTCGAGTGAGAGCTTATGGCGAACTGTCATCTGAATTGATTACCTCAAGTGGTGTTCGTCAGGGCTACCCACTCTCTCCATTCTTGTTTAACTTTGTCATTGACGTATTTTTAGAGATAACATTCTCCTCATTTAAATTTCCAGTAGTTGAACTTCTACCAGGAGATCCACTTGTTGATTGGAATATGCCGATGACATTGCTCTATTTGGTGAAGACGCTGACAAAATACAGTCTTCTGACCACTCTAAGCAACAATGCAAGCATGTTCGGGATGCGATTCTCTCCCTCGAAATGCAAAATGTTGCTTCAGGATTGGGTTGCATTGACACCCGAACTAATGATAGGGAGTGAAGTAATTGAGCGTGTCGATCGCTTCACTTATCTTGGAAGTCTCATCAGTCCTTGTGGTCTGGTGTGTGACGAAATCTCAGCACGGATACAGAAGGCTCGACTAGCTTTTACCAACTTGCGTCATTTATGGCGTAGGCGGGATATCCGTCTATCAACCGAAGGACGTGTTTACTGCGCAGTTCGTTCCGTCCCAATTTATGGCAGTGAAACATGGCCGGTAAGAGTAGAGGATATCCGTAGGTTACTAGTATTCGATCATAGGTGTCTTCGAAACATTACTCGTATAACCTGGGACCATCGAGTAAGTAATGCAGTTGTTAGAAAATGAGTACTAGGTAAGGATGGCAAATCAATTGATGACGTAGTGAAACTTCATCAGTTGAGATGGCTGGGACACGTGTTACGTATGCCCAACCACCGACTGCCTCGATGTGCGATGTTTTGTTGTATAGGAGTAAATTGGAAGAAAGCTATGGGTGGCCAGACCAAAACATGGCACAAGTCCATGAAATCACTGACAAGTGGTCTGAGTCATGTTGGTAGGTGTAGACTACCTGGTTGGGATCCGCGTGATAATAGCAACCGATGGTTAGAGACCCTGAATGACATGGCTCAAAATCGTTTGCAATGGTGTTTGGGAAAATCACGTCACAGATTTAGGGCTCGGATGGTCTTCCCCGACTCAAGTCACCAGTGTTATAGGCGAGATGTGTCTTGAGCAAAGGACCAGTTTACCAAGAAGCAGACAGTGACATTTTGCTTCGTGGACATGGAATACGGCATTTGAAAGACGATATCCGTAGGTCATTAGAATTTGGTCACAGATGCATTCGAAGCATTGTACACGCGTGTACTACTAAGCGTTACCCATGTTGGACGCCGGGCTCCAGGTAGAGATGGGCAAATCGGTTGACGAGGTATCAAACTTGCATCTACTTCGACCATTGGGCAAGCCCAACTATCGCCTGCATTGACGTGAGACGTTTGCTGCTACTGGATTGAATCAGATGAGAGCTATGGGACCAAACTAGGATGCAGGGTCAGTCCATGAATTTATTGATTGTTAACATGAGGCACATCGGAAGAGTTCGTGGGATCACCGAGACTATGGGGTGAAAATGGCTTAGAATCGACCACAATGGGACAAATGAATTCACTAAAACCCTGAGTTTTGTGATCCGTTGATTTCTAGTCTGCGAGTTGGCTCTTTCTTGAATTATACTGTCTGTATCTAATCTTTTCTACGAATACGGATGTTTCTGATCCTACTACTGCAGCATCTAGCTCTGCTAGTTCGATGTGGTAACTTGGACCGACGAACGTGCGCCGAGTTCTACGTTGCTCATGACTGTGTTGAAGGGGAACAAACTAAAAACATTAGTGATGGTGAATCGACCGGTGAGGTTGTAAGCGTTACCAATTTATACAGTTGAAAGGTTACCGACCCCGCCTTTGTCGCCGTTTATCTCGAATCACAGAACTAACGCAGACATGCTAGAGGAAAGAGACTAAGCCGAAAAATATAAGTTCTTGACGTTATTAACTACTGCTTCTGACAGAGTGAGGTATAAGTAAACGTTCTAGTTGGTCAGTCGTAAGTAACATAACCTGGTACATGAGTGTATTGATTAATGGTCAGTCATAGTCGTGTTCAATCGTATCTAAGCCTAGTCATTACACATTCGTCATTGTGTCGAATTTATTCATCCCCAAGAATCTACGACCGATGAACAAATATGGATTTTGTCTACAATGCAAACAAACACTATAAAACCGCGTGGGAGCATAAAGAAAACGATACATCTAAAAAATTTTATTCATATACCAAAGTAGAACTAGATTTTGTTAAAAGAAGCTATGTCAACTGACTGCACAAATTCTTCAAACTTCGTTATTTCTTCTTCTAACATATCAGTTCCGACCTGAAAAAGAGACATAGGCAATATTCTACTTTAGAGACTTAAGAATTCTGAGAACACAATTTCAATTGATCTTATTGATTAAATAAATGCTCTTGACAAACATTTGACTGAGAATGCATACCTTATCATCTTCAATAACACATGCAATTTGGAGTTTCTTAATCCCATAAGCCAAAGGAACAAGTTTGGACGAACCCCATAACAGCCCATCGGCTTGAATACTACGGACAGCCTTTTCCATCTCCGCCATATCAGTTTCGTCGCCCCACGGTTTTACATCAAAGACAACCATAGACTTTGCTGCAGGAATATCCTTCTTTGCTTTTTTCTCTTCGTAAATAGCCTGGCGCTCACTTCTTAGTTTTTCATATTCTTCATCATCATCATCATCAGAGCCAAATAAATCGAGCTCGTCACTCGCGGCAGGCGATGTACATTTAGCTAAAAGAGAAAGAAATGCAATTTAAACCATAGAACTCTTGACTACCTGGTTCAGGATTGGCGGATTCCTGTGGAGCAGGAAATGTTTTTTGTTCCGCACCAAAAGAGTCAATATGTTTGTACCAGCGTAAAATATTGCCAAAATCTGATGACGGTGACTTCCCAAGGGCTATGAAAGTTGAGACATCCGCTTGAGTAGGCTGAAACCTACAAAAAATATCATTATAAAATGGATTATAAAGCGTGTTTGCTAATAATAATTTCGACACTAGCTATACTAACAGACCCAAATATTAACCCAATTATTCATAGAACTGTTATACCAGGCAGTAATCTAGAGTTTTTAACAACACTGTCAAACATATACAAATGAACTGAGTTCATTTATTGAAAATTTAGTGGACCAATATATTCCAATTTGGTTCATTGACAATAAAAAGTTAGGTAAAAAGTGGACACTGAAAAGAAACGTCCGCATGCCAAATCGGATGGACTCTACAACAACATTTCCTATGTGGTGTTACTACATCATTTAGCTGCTGAGGAAAAAAACTAGATGATGCGCTACTTTGAGAACTTTACCGTAAAAGGTTGTTGCTGTAGTTTGTAAAGACATCATTAATAATTATTGGACGAACTGAACCCTAACCTTTGTATTTTTGGTGGATATTAGGATAGGTTATGGTTTGAGACTAAACGAAAGTACTACATGATTGGTCTGAAGTGTTGTTTTGCAGAAGAAATTAGTTTCAGCCAGACTCAGAAATGACAAGCATTCTACATAATTTAAATCCGACGAAACTTTAATTTGAGGACTTTAAAGCAATACTAAGATATCTTTGAGCTTTCACAAAAATATGGAAAAAATGAGTTTTTACCACGGACTAACAACACTCACAATCCCATATTTTCTCCACATAGATGAACTCAAGGTTTGCAGTCTTAATTCAGATCGATTTGTTCATAAACGACGGTCAGCCCGTGACTTTCAGGATGTACCTGGAATACGAATTGGCCAACACTTAGTGCAATAAAATAGAGTAAACCCATAGCAAAATGGTTTAAGGAGCACATATGTGATGGCAAAAAAGGCAAACTCAAGACTCAGGCTATACAGGAGTTTGAAATACCAATAAACATTTACGTTCATCCATTAGACGAGTTTATTACACCACCGTACATACGCTAAATTCACACTAACCCTGATATATAACTTCTGGTAAGCAGAAAACCATCTAGCTTCTTCAGGGCCGAAGCGGTCTTCAAGTCACCAAAATCGATCATCCCGTAGCGTGTGAAAATTCGAGCCTGGCGCTGGGAAGAGAACTATCGGTAGGGAATAAAAACACAAGTTGATCAAACATTTTAGTAACTTTTGCAACATCAGAAACGCCACTGTATTCAACGATGTAAGGCGACTAGTAGCACACCAACTTACATTCTAAGATCTGTTATCACTCAAGGAGCAAAGGCTGATGACCTCGATTCTATGACCTACTCTCTTTAAGACTCTCATTGTTTTTAAGTGCTACTCATTCCCCATGTGTCCACCTCCGATTCACAAAGCAATGTGTTTTGGCCTGCCTCTATTCTTTTTGTCTTGGGCATACTAAGCATAGGTCTGATGATTTCCGCAATATGTACCATCCATCAACAGCATATTTTTTCCAAATTTCCTTCTCAAGTGGAGCCCGGTTTGTTATATGCCACAGTAAATTGTGGCTGTTTGTGCTCATGAGCCTGAACTGGAGGACCTTGTGTACATCTTCGCGCAAACCTTTTTGAAGATGGTTTTAATAGTTCTGAAATTATCAGACTCGTACAATAGAACTTTCTTGACGTTCATTTTTAAGATTTCGACTTTGATGTCTGCTGGAAGTATTTTTTTGGTCCATAACTGTGACTCGTAGTAATCTTTATTTAAGATATAAAACCCAGTATCAATTTAGATTATGAACCATCACCTGTTAGAGTTTTTTAAGGCAGAGAAATAAGTTACACCTGGAGAGAGATGGGATGCTAATACTCAATTTTAAAACACGAATTTCAGCGAAAGGATCTCTTTTCAACGAATTTATTATCAAGCTGTACAATTGTATATATATGAAAATTTTATTTTTGTAAAAGTACTAATTCCGTGAGGAAATAGGAACACAGTTAATAAAAAGGTTATAATACTAGATTACGTAATATGAATAATAACAATAAATTTAGTAAATATAATAAGATGATTAAAATGCTTTTGTCATAATAATTAAAGGTCATAGAGGTGTAAGAAATAAATAAGGTGATATGATGAGTATTTACGAATAAAACAATGGGAATATAAGACATAAGTAAAGGGGGGAATGCAGCAATAATAATAATAATAATAATAATAATAATTGGATAATCAAAATGCTTAAGGCCAAGGTAACGATAACGATAAGACGTACTTCTTTTGTACGCATAGTTCTGGTTTAAGCTCCTGAATGGTAAGAGCTTCGGCTATTTTTAAAAGTTGGATGCGAAGGAATCTGGGTAGATTTGAACGAATCATATAAACAACTCAATTTTACACCTACTGATATGAGAGACCTAAGAACATTGCCTAAAGCGGAAGCAATTCGCTACCTAATGATCATACTAAATGGTCCGGAAAAATCATAGGGCCTTCTTTCAGAAAACGCTGCTAGCTGAGGTCAGTAGCAATTTACGTGACAGGCTGAGGAAGTTTTAGTCATATAGCGACAAGGTATTTGGGAGCAAGTTCAACCTATTCTCAAAGAACTTGGTAAAGACTCCTTAAATGGTAGCTCCAGATATGCCTTATAAATTACTCCCAGGTGTTTTGACACATTTTGTTCGTTATCGTCGTATTTATGGGAGATATTAAAAATAAATAGTGGAGATCGTGTACATATGTAAACTTTAGTTTTGGCCGAAAAAAGTTTCTGTGGCAAGTTACTGTATTAAGCGGTGTGCACTATATTGTAAGATGGATCTATCAGAAAGAAGTTTTCGTGACAAATATCATCTGAAATCTCTTTTTGCCGTAGAAATTCGTTATTTTGGAGATCCTCTAATAGGTTGAAGTTGAATCGCGTTGCTTTCAGTTTTCTAAATATGATTCTGTGAATTTGATGAATCTTCAAAGTAATAACAAGACCGACAGATTACATGGAGTCGCAGACGTATAAATTTGTCTGATCATTGTGTTCAACATTGTTTAATTTATTACAGCCTTGCACTACGCTTGCAAACTCACATTTTGTTGTTTCAACATACCGTCTTGAGGAAAATTCCAGTAGATTGGTTAGTCTCCATTAGTTTATACCTATTAAACTTCGCTGTAAACGGACTATAAAATCTTGTCTTCATACGACTAATTGGTGTCAGTTTGCAAAACTTTTCGCATTATTGAATAAGTGTTGCCAAAATATCTTAACTAGTAGTACAATAAAAGGCGTGCGCCTATTCTAGTTATCATTAAGAGGTAGATGACTGAGAATTCGAGATCGATCGCAAATGATTCAGGAATCGAAACCTTCGGATTGTTAGTGTTTTCTACACTAGAAAATTCGCAAGAACACAAAACGTTCATGTACTGCGTACCATCTGCTAGTTTATTGTCATGGAGCTGCATATAATTTAACCTATACTTAATTCAGTTTCCACAACATGCGGCCGAGTGAAATTCTTATTTAATGGGACCCAATTCTGGATAATGCAAATAGTTTCTGTTCTCATGGAATGGTAATGAGAAAGAGCTGAGGAACTAATGATACCTAGTGATCACGACTGCCAGTATATGAGTACCATCATAGTTAATGTTCGATATGTATGTGAATATATAAATTTCCAGTTCACTGAGTTTCATTATTGCCTTCCATACTGGCGGTGTTAACGGTCTTTGAATTAGGAGTAAACCGTTTTCTATATGAAGCTCTCGAATGTTTACATTTTATTGTTCATGTCCAAAATTTTAGTCGGTCTCATGTAGTTCGGAGTAATTCGTGTGCTAGACCAATGAATTCTGTGAAATGATAAACCTTACTAATCAACACTTTTTTATTAACTGTGTTCACATTTCCTCACGGAATTAGTACTTTTACAAAAACAAAATTTGTTATATATTTGTCTTGCCATGGAGGATGGGGTTCTGAATTTGCTCAAATTGCCTAATAGATTCGTTGCAACAATGGGTATGGAGATCTCTGGACAATGTAGGTTGTAGAATCGATGTTTGAGGCGTGTGCTACAAGGTTGTTGACAGATTTCATTATGTACGCTACTGTTCATTGCTTTACCCGTATTTGTATAGACTATGATTTTCCTAATGTTCATGAGAACTATCTTTCACCCTTCATTCTGCCTTTTATATCCGTAATTTATTTTAATCTTCACAGAGAAAAACCTAGTTCACCTGTACTTCTGGATGTTCGGATTGGATGGCTTTTATGAGAATTCTGCCCTGAAGAATGACTTCGATTTCATGCTTGCCAGAGGTCACATATCATAGTTAGTATATGTGTTGCTTATTTATGACCATTTTTAACATTTTTGAAATTTTTAATACAGAAGGTACTTTAAACTAACAATTATACAAGATCACGCCAAACATGTTTTCGAATGTGAGAGACTGTAACTGATATGTCGGGAAAAACCTAAGAACATTAAATCGTAATTTAATTGAGAGATCATTTTGATTTCTTTTTCTGTTCGCATGACAGATACCTTTGTTCAGTTCCCACATTTTGAGAACCATATAAAGCCAATATTAGCTTACTATGCAATATCAGCAACGTTGTCTATCACTGGACGTAACATTTTGTGCAAAACACGAGAGACGTCATCGCGATTCTGTTCGTTTAGCTCAAGGCCGCCAGCATATTATACTTTTACCATCTTTTGCCTCGTCAAGTACTTTCCTCGTTTGGTAAAGCGGCATAAATTAAGGTGGGATTAACACTTAGTTAGCCTCCAGCTAGTCGAAATCAAAATTCTATGACAATAAGAAAAATGTAATGACCTACCGTTATTGCTGGTTCACACAATATATTGCTCTGAAGTATTACCGCACACATTTGAAACCATTGTGAGCTTCGTATATACATATATCGACAATTTCGAACTTCAATTAACGGATAATACCATCATTTAGTCACATATGATAGAATGTCGTCCGTAGACTTCTTCATTCCAGGGAGCGGCCCTCTGTATGAAAACTCTGACACATCAAAAGGTGTGTGTTGGTGGTTGTTGGAATCCGGTGTGCTGAGAATTCTATATTGTACCAAAATATAATATTGAATAAGGCGACATACTATCCGTATTTATTTTGCTTATCTCAAACACTGCGGGTTTTATTATGGCCACGAATGGACTTTTGATTAAACCTTATTCAAAATGAACTTCTTCCAAATCATCTTATGGAAGAATGATTCGATAAGATCGACTCCTGTCTCAGTTTTGATTCATCATTGATGTGTGAAGAAATGACAGCAGCTAATTGACATTAATAGACTGACAATCATGATACAAGCCCGAAATTTCACAAATCCCGCTTTCGAAACACATTCTCTGTGTATGAATACAAATCCTCAGTAATGTGAAACCACATTCATCATATCGTTGTTTATGCTGTTTGGACTGAGAGTGCAACATAATGACTTCACCCTGCGAATAGTAGTCCAAACGGCTGTCGGCGCAAAATTTGAAAGTGGTAAGTGTTTTTCACGTGGTTTAGGAATTCTTCGACATGTTCATTCGTAGGGTGCATTGTACGGAGACTATCATCCTATCTTATATATCAAGTACATTTTACCCCGAAAAAAATTTCCGACGGACACTTTCAAGATAGTATTATTTTTATAGTGGACTTAATTCTTAAATAGATCTGAAATATATTATATACTCATAGACTTTGACCCTTTTATTAACCCGGTTGAAACCTAAAAACAACTATATACTGAGATATTATATTCAGTTAAACGAGCTCTCTACTCATCCAGTTTCAACTCATGACCAATAACTCCGGTAAAAGAGAAATTTCGGAAAGACTCTAATTTATCGACAACCTTTGAACGAATCTTAAGTGACCTTGACGAATATCAGCCAATCAGCAAACAGTCAGTATAGAGTAAAAAGATGTTATACAAAGGTTTGCTTACTTACTTACTTACGCCTATTACTCCCAATAGAGCATAGGCCGCAGACCAGCATTCTCCAAACCACCTTGTCCTCGGCCTTCTTTTCTAGTTCCATCCAATTCTTGTTAATTTTTCTCATGCCTATCTCCATTTCCCGGCGTAATGTGTTCGTTGGTCTTCCTCTCCTCCTTTCACCTTGAGGGTTCCATGTGAGGGCTTGTCTTGTGACGCAGTTGGGTGCTTTCCTCAATGTGTGTCCTATCCACTTCCAGCACTTCTTCCTGATTTCTTCCTCCGCAGGGATCTGGTTTGTT